TCATACATTCTGGAAAGGGCAAAGAAGGGGCTATATGATACAGGAAAGGGAACCCAAAGGCTGCACACTGACACGCGAACAGACTTTGCTGGACCATCCTTGACTTTCAGAATGAGGAAACTTAGCTCCCAAGAGCTCACATAACCTCAGCCAAAGTCATTTGGCTAGCCAGCCCTTTGTTCATAAACCACCCCCGAGCTGGGATTCCTTCTGCATTCGAGCTCCCAGAGGCCAGTCGTGGCTGAAAGTCTAGAAGTCAGGCAGAGCAGGTGAAAGCAATAAAGCCCAGCATGTTTGGGCTATCACCAACCCTCGCATCCTGAGGACTGTCACGCCCACAACCCTCGGTTCAGCCAGATGACTGGAAGCGTTTATCAGCTTTTATTCTGCAGATGCAGAAATGAAGGTACAGAGCTGCCATTCATTTGCCAAGAGTCACAGAGGAAGTAGGAGCAGGAAACTTGGCTCCTGCAAGCTGGGGAGTCAGCATGTGACAGACTGAAGGATGGCCAAGAACCTTCATCTCTCAAGGTGGGTGGAACCTTGAGAGCCATTGCACATGCTCACATAAAACACCAGTCATCCATTTTCACTTCTGAATGACCTAGTTCTGGCTAGGTGGCTCCTGCCCAGGGTCCCTTGTCCGGTACAATGAGGTGGTGGCTTGGAGTCCTTACAGAGGCCTCTTTAGTCTATATCTGGTAGGTTACCATTGGGCTTCCCCTGAGCCTGCCAACCAGACAGATCCCTCTGTGAGTGACTAGAGATTCCTTGTGGCATGGCAGCTAAGTTCCAAAAGCAAGGACCCCTGGGGAAAAGCCAGGTGGTATTTGCATTGCCTTCTAAGGCCTCACCCCAGGAGTCACACAGCTTCCTAGACTCCAGTCATATGTCCCTAAAGCCAGGTCTCGTTGAAGGAGGAACACTAGACTCAATCTCCCTTTGGCAATACCAAAGAACTATTTGGGGGTCAATATGTTATCTCATTTCCTCCTAGCTTTATTAAGTTTTAATTGATATGAAGATGCTCTCAAGTGTATAGGATGGTGTTCTGGTTACATTCTGAAATGGTTGCCATCGTCGGAGTAGATAATAGAACTATCAGCTCACATAGTTTATTTGATGTTGTTATTGGTATGGGACATTAAGCCTGACTCCATTGGCAAATTTCAAGTATCTAGAATATTCTCACCAACCACAGTCACCCTACTGCACATCAGATCTCCAGAGTATAACTATCTCCAAACTGCAGTATGTAACCTCTGCTTTCTGATCTCCCCCAATACCTGATTAGAACAGTTTCCTTGAAATACTAACTATAGCCAGTAAAGAGGCCCAGCCAAGAACACATAAGGTGTCTAAAAAAGAGAGAACCAAATGCAGCAGAGGCAACATCTCATCTTTCACACCGTCAATTGGTATTTAGATGATGATGAATTCTTAATGTCAATTTGACACAACCTAGACTCACCTTGAAAATCTGAATAGGGGACTACGTAGATGAGGACAATCTGTGTGTTCATTTGTGAAGGACTGATTTTTCTTCATTGAGCTGAATGAGGTCAGGCAACCAGCCCACTAGGGGCATCACTACCCCCTATGTTTGGGTCTTGAGCTGTGTAAGAGTAGAAACAGTGAGCTGAACATTAAGCATGCATATGTGCATTCTCTCCCTGCTCTTGACTGTGGATGTGATATAATTAATCGCCTCTCTTAAGATCCTGTCTTTCCAATGGACTATAACCCGAAATTGTGAGCTCAAATAAACCTTTTCCCGCTCTAGGGTTCTTTCCACAGAGCATGTTATTATAGCAACATCAATGAAATTAGAACAGCAGATGAGATGTACAATGATTCCGTCGAGACCAGGTTATACAGCACATCACTTCAACCCATAGAAGAATGTTCATAGTATGGGCAGGAGAGTTGGGGTTGAAGAAGCAGAAATGGCTGTGGAGAACGGGATGCTTGTGGGGTATCTTTTCATGAACTATTCAGCAAGTGTGATATGACAGTGAACATGCATGGCTTTGATAAAACAGTTAAATTCACATTAATAAAAGAGGGAAAAGGTATAGCCAGTTGTGTCTTGATGACACAGAGCAGCCAGCCTAAGTGGGAGATTGATGAGGAGACTGGTGTGCTGTTCAAACTCCTATTGCTCCCCGTCAGGTGGAGGAATGGTCTTACTTCAGCGTGACTATTAAAATGCAGGATTCGCTGCACTATACTCCTGCCACTAAACCCAGGCACCCATGCACTTGGTGCAACAGAGAGTGGTTTGTAAATCTGTATGTGTCACAGGCATCAGACTGAGTGATGCTTCCCACTGGCCAGAAGCTCGGGGCTTATTTATCACCCCGCAGTCTTATTGCTAATTAGATCTACTATCACTGTGGTCATCTAACAACTCTCTGTGTTTAATGTGGTCCCCATGAAAACCTCCCCCACTCATCATCCTGACAGTGTTTGCAGTTTATTGAGGGTGTGTGAATCCAGGGTAGGAAGGGCTTCAGAAGGCAAACAAAAGGCAAAGACAGGGTGGTGAGTTATCACTTTGATTGTTAGGTTATTTTCCCCTCTTCTTATTTATTCTTTGTGTCTTTCGTATCATACATCTCCATTCCATTCATTTCCCCATCCCTTCATATCCACCCTCTGACCTTTCAACCCCCCCCCAAAATAAAATAAAATTTAAAAGTAAAAAGAAAGAAGGAAAACATCAGTCTCATGATAGAAACTGTCATGTGACACAGTGAGTCGTGCAGGATACTCTTTTATCCATGTATCTTTACTTGCAAAGTGTTCGTTGCAGAGTCATTGGTCTGCTTTGAGGCCCCTGGTTTGTTAGGTTATTGATCATGGAAGGGAAATGAGAAGCTTTAAGAAATTAACCACATTGCTGGGCGGTGGTGGCGCACGCCTTTAATCCCAGCACTCGGGAGGCAGAGGCAGGTGGATCTCTGTGAGTTCGAGACCAGCCTGGTCTACAAGAGCTAGTTCCAGGACAGGCTCCAAAACCACAGAGAAACCCTGTCTTGAAAAACCACAAAAAAAAAAAAAGAAATTAACCACACCTAGGATGAGCAGGGAACATTGGGAGGCCTGTGCTTCGAGTTCAGAAATGTTCCAAAGCAGAGCCGTGTCTTTTAGGATGAAAATAGCATATGTTAGCAGAGGCCAAGGCTCAGGCAAAGGAGCTGACATGCTGTGAGCCTCACGAGGGAGGGAAGCAGTGTATCTTACATGAGAGGCAGGCTTGCCATAAGAGAGGTGGCGGTGTCACTTGGGGATAACTGCTACTCCATATTCTGGGGAGCTACTCACAGGCAGTTCAGATTCCACATGAAAATCAAATTCACAAGACTCTTTACAAGCGTTGTCCCCAAGGAGGGTGCCTCGGCCCTCCAGAGCTTGAGTTTAGAGCAGGAACACCCTGATCCAGTGTCTGTAAGAGTCACGTGACACCCAGTTGACCCTGCTGCATATATCCAGCTGTCCCCTGTTGGTCTATAAAGAAGGGCTAGGCAAGCTCTGACTTTACAGAATGGAATGGGGCTTGTTTGCTGTAAGGACTCATGGGGACACTGTCAGTGAAGGATAAGCCACAGTGACAGGCATGCCAGGGGCCAACTGAGGAGGGTATGTCATGAAGTCCTGAGCGAATGTGTGTTGTTGGCATAGGCATGGCCACAGCAAGGACCTCAGAGCCTTGGACTCAAGGAAAATGACAAAGACTTCCAGGAATGAGGCGCAAGGGAATTGTCAATCTTTCTGGTTCATGTTCAGATGTTGACAGTATGTGCAGAAATGTCCACCATAGCTTATCCCCACCACCACCACCACCATATTTATGGCCTGAAGATTGCTCCCTACAGAGATTCGTTCTACCAAGATTAGCTAAATCTGTCTCCTTGCTCAGATGTATATAATAACCCCACCTCCTTGTGTACCTGTGTATGTTGTATATATAATAAAGAGGGCGCTGCAACATGTCCATCGGAGAGCCCAAGTGCACATGATCCCAGCTTTACTGTGTGTCTGTGTGTCTTTCCTTCATTCCTGCTCTACCCTGGTCAGGTCACTCCCTGAAGCCATGTGGCCTGTATAGCACCTTCCAACACTATTAGGGACAACCAGTCTAGTTTTCAGCCCAGGTCCAGCCCAGGTCCAGCCCAATTACTCTGCACCCTGCAATTAGACACTCACAGCCCATTTACACTCACCCTGCAATGTGGTGAGCTAAAGACAGATCTCTTGTCTGATCCCTAAAAGAAGAGCTTGGTGGCAAAATGTGTGTTTTCATGAGTTTGTAGGAGCGAGGGAGTTAGTTTTATACCTGCTTGTGCTACGTGGGCAAGCTGTGGGTGTGGGGTTTCAGCCATAATAGCATTCAGAGGCTAGAACCCAGGAAAAGCCTGACAAATTGGAAGGAAGTGAAAGGAGGGCAGAGGGAAGCAAGCAAGATCGCTCCCATCTTCCTTGTGGCGTCACCAATCTAGGCTCCTTTAAGTTGGATTCATGGTATATAAAGTTAGAGTGATTTAAGTCACCAGTACAGGATTCAGAAGCTGGAATTCTTAATTGAACTCTCCCTCTCATTTCTCTTTGGCCTAGCGACCTCTGGCAAATCACAAAACCTCTCTGTGGTATCTAAGAAACAGGAATGTTGCCTGTCTCACCTAGTGATGTGAAGATTTCTGGGTCGGTACTTGCAGGGCTTTTGAAGAGAGTGCTGGAAACATAGTAAGTCTCATACACGTTTGCCAGACAGTGTTGGTTATGAATTTACCCCATCACTGTCCCCATCACATGCTCCCTACAAAACCCAGGTGTTGACAGAAATGGCCTCTTGGCAGAGGGCTGACAATCGAGCACTTGGCTTCCTGTGCCCAGGGGAGAAGCTGAGCCATTTGCAGAGAGGCAGGAAGACACATCCACACATTCAAGGGACTGGTCATTAGGAGGTTAGGTAATGGACCATGTGTTTGATCTTCCAGGAGGCAGAGATACTGAACACAGCCATCCTCACTGGGAAGACAGTGGCTGTCCCGGTGAAGGTGATCTCGGTAGAGGAAGATGGCACAGTGCAAGGTCTGTCGGACTCGGTGGAGTGCAGGTCAGCAGACGAAGACGTGGTTAAGGCAAGTGGACAGTCCCTCTCCGCTGCAGAAACCCATAGTTGCATGGGTGTGGGTGGTTCTCTCCAGCTGGATCTGCAGGGTGCCTCCCATTCTGAGTTTCCTGCCACTTAAATTGGGAGTGTCTCCTAGGCCAAAACTGAAGAGGAAAAAACACTGCTCTAGCCCATGTCTGGGCTTTGAGACTTTTCTTCTGGGTCTGACATTGATCTTTTCCCAGACCCTGGGAGGCGGCAGTGGGATGCGGGGACCATAAGCCATCCACTCCCCCCTCCACAGACTGACAACAGAGGTTTCTTTCCACCCATTTGGACTGTAAAAGAATGGGAAGGAGAGTCACGACCCAGACTGGTGAACATACAGCCATGCTCCATGATGCATTTACAGGCTTGTGTGAGATCAATAAAGGCATAAAGTTTATGATTATAACTAACTTTGATTTACAAAATCAGCCACTGGAGAGAGGAGTTGTCTCCCAACCTCTGGCCCTCCCACATGGCTCTCTACATGAGGGAGGGGACAGCACACACTATGCCCATCCCTCTGCTCCGCTCCCCAACCCCATCCTTTCTCCCAAGCTCTTCTTTCTCTTTTTAATTTGAAAGCAGAAATGATTCAAGGCAAAGGCATACTGGGAGAAGCCTGAGGCCAAGGACTCCAGTCTGGCTGGGCCAGGAATCTCTCAGCAAGGTTCCAGACAGCAGGAGGGAGTGGATTTTTGTGGCTGCCGTGACCCACTCCACAGTCAGAGCCATGGTGACAGATATCTCGTCACTTTTTCCTGGTTTCTTCTCAGGATGCCAGGATCACCAAAACCAGGCAGCACACTTAACCAGAGCTGTGAGGAGGCAGATTTGCAGGAGAACAGATCAGTAGTGTGGTGCTTTCCATACATGCCATTCCAACCTACTTCCAGAATCTTCTTTACAACATACAGACGGGCCTTCAGTGTCGCTGGCCAGTGTCTCAGCTCATCTTGATTTCCCTTTCTGTCTCTCATATCGAATCTTCTGCAAACCATTCTGGGGACCCCTTCTCAGGCATTCCCATTCAACAGCTCTTCTCTGGGATAGGCCCCATCCTGGTCCAGGACACTGTGGATTCTAGATCAAGGAATGGCCCTCTCCCCTCACTCCCACACTCAACCATGTCCATGTGCTTTCCCCACCTCTACTTCAATGCAGCAGCCAGGATGTGAGAGCCAACAGCACCAGTCATCGACTGAGAACCGTTCACCAACTTCCCCTCTGGCTCAGAGAACCCACACTCCACACCTCACACCACCCTCTGTCGTTCCAGCCACCCAGTGCCTCTGTGGGTTTTTTCAGGCCACGAACCCCTTTCCATCTCAACATCTAGCTCTCCCCTTGATGACTATGTGGCCAGTGCCCTTACTTAGCTTCCCACAGTCTTTGGCTTTCCAGCACTGGCAAAGTTGTCATGGATACCCAGCATGGCTTTTCCCACCTGCTTACATTTCTTTATTCATATATAAATACATAATGAAATGTGCACCTATACAATGCATATCATGTTCAGTTATTCATACATATTACATAATAAAATATGTACCTATATAATACATATCATATTTAGTTATTCATATATTGCATTATATATGTGATGTAATATAAATGTATATGTACACAAAATAGATAGCTGTGTTCATTGACTTCCCTCATCGGAATATCAGCTCCATGAGTGGAGGATGTTCTGGTTCCTTCTGTTCATTGCTATAGTCCCATCCTTTGCAATATTCGGGACGTCATGAATAATAAACAAGTACAGCTACCCCTCCAGTGGTGACGGAGCTACCTCCTGAGGACCCATCACTTCCAAACAGCCATCTGGGCTAGTTCTCTCAGACAGAAATCATGAGTGGGTCGGGTGGACTGGGGCTGGTTGGCCTAGGCTCTTGAGTTCCCAAGACAGACCCAGAGACTCACTTCTCAAAGCCCTAAGAGCTACAGACCTGTTGCTGTAGGCTCTAGAAGCCAGAGACTTAAACTGTTGGGACTCAGTCTGGAGGCTTATTAATCTGGGCTTTAATCACCAGTACTTGGCAGCTGGTGTAACCCTCAGCTTGCTAAGCAGCAGGAGCAGCAGCAGCAGGAGCAGCAGCAGCAGGCAGTGCCTGCTCGTGTTACGTTTCCTGAATAGCTGGGAGGCTCAGCTCCTGCAGAGGTAGTGCTATGGCCCTTGACCTGGAGGGTCTGAAACCCCTAGCCCATAAGGGTTGCCAGTTCTCTGGGATCTGCTTGGCAATCAGAGCCTACTCTTTCCAGTCTTCCTACCTTTTCTCAGCATTGGTTTTTTTCCCGCTCACCTTCTTCTACTTCTTCTATTCCTCGTTGTCTCCACCACCATTTCTACCCCAGTCACTCTCTGGAACTTTGAAATCACCCTCTTGTTGCTGCAGCTGCAGCCACTGCCACCACCACCACCACCTCCTTTTCCCTCCCACTACCTCGCCACGGCACCATCTCCACTTTGTATGACCGGCTTCTTATGTTCTACTAAAGACTGAAAATAGGCAGGAAAGCATCACTTATGAAAAGCCTTTGGTTGAGCCTAATGTAGCACAGCAATGGCTGAAAGAGTCCAATATCCTTATATAATCAAAAAGAATCTGAGGTATGTTCCATTCACAGGCCTTCTACTGGACACCACAGAGAGTGCTCCCTCTGGTACTCCTCTGGCCTAGGTAGTATGACTACTGAGGTTAACTGAAGCTTGTGACAGAAACAAGTTCTTGCTCAAACTGCCGAAACTGTTGTGCCTGGGACAGCGCCCCCTGGAGCTAGATTTGTGCACTGGCAGCAAGCAGCTGTGCTTGCTATGTAGCTTCCTCAATATCTTGCAATGTCCAAAGCAGGCTGGCTGTAATGAAGGCTGACCTCTTAACTGATAGTCCTCTGCTGAAGCGAGTCATTCAGAGCACCAAGGAGTCTGACAGCTGTCAATCAGGGAGCCTAACCACCACAGCCTCCAACGTCATAGCTTACGTAAAGGAAAAACAAGCTTTAAAAGAGTTCTTAGCATGAGGGCAATTGACGTTACCAGTGCTTTGACACTGTTCAACAATACACTTCTTAGCTAGGAATCCTTAGGGGAAGTAGCTTCATTTTATCTCTCTCACTGCCATTAAGTCAAGAGCATCTTGAGTTAAAACATATTTAGTACTGTAACCTGAGTAGCATACCCTGTCCCCGCCTCCCTGAGCATCCGCATCAGTCCACAGTTGGGCAGAACCTTGGAACATAAACTCTATCTGTCTTATAAAAGAGTGTTCAATATTTCATGGAACAGATTGGCCGCCTTATAAAGTCAATGTACCAATGAAACAGTGCCCTGTGGAAAATGAGTTATAGACCCTGTGACAGCAAAAAAGGAAACTACACAGCATCAGTAGAGTACCGTGGAACCGACTGCCAGCCCCAGAAAAAAAATCAAAATTAACATTTAAAGTAATATTTCTATTGAATGTGTATCACTTCCCCACTCTCATAGACTCAAAGAATCCTAAGGGGGCGGGGGCATGCTTCAGTTGGACTGTCGGTAATAACAAACAAGAAACAGTTAATGAAGTTACAAAACTGACCTCGGGGGAGGGGCTTAAACTAAGACAGAAAAGATGTTGTGTTAGTTACTGTGGCCCAGGGGAAAAAAAAAGACAACTTAAGGAAGGAAGGGCTTCTTTTGGCTCACAACGTAAATGGACAGTCTGTCATGGTAGAGAAATCTTGATGGCAAGAATGGCAGCTGGTCACATTCCATGAACAGCCAGGAAGGAGAGAGATGAATGCTGGCGCTCGGTACCATGGGATGGTGATGCCCATGTCCAGAGTAGGCTTTCTCAGTGTAATTAACCCAGTCTAGAAGCCCCTCCATGGGCAAGCCCAGAGGCTTGACTTCTAAGTAACTCTAGATCCCATCAAATTGACAATCAGTATTTTTAAAGTTGTATTATTTTTATCATTTGTGTGTATATGTTTGTATGTATGTATTATGTACTGTTATGTATGTTATGATGTGTATGTGTATGTGAGAAGGACAGAGGGCAACCTGCAGAAGTTAGTTCTCTCCTTCCACCGTTTGAGTTACTAAGACAGAACTCGGGCTGTCAGGCTTGGGGACGAGCATCTTTACCCGCTGAGCCATCTCACCAACCTGACAGTCAATATTAACCAGTCTGCCAAACAGACAAGGTCCCAAAGGGCGTTGCAGAGAAAGGACACAACGTCAATATGCTCAGAGCACACCGGAAGCATCTGCAGCCTGCAACAATCGTCAACAAGTCCAGATGGCCAGCCAGCACTGGGTCCTCGTGGTCCAGCCGTCATCTCAGAGATACACAGAGTACCCAATCAGAGCAGCTGAGATGCAGCCTTGGTATTCTGGGATGAGCCTAGAGAAGGAAGGGGCTTCTGTCTATTCATTCTTGGGAAAGACTCCCGAGCCACTCTCAGAGATGCAGAGGACACAAGGAAAAATGGCAAACCCTTCATTCTGTTTCATATCTATCACCAGTCTTTGCGGCTGGTACATGAGGCAATGTTCCAGTCCCCTGTGCCACTCTCTACATCACAGATCGTGACAGTCACCTGGAACACATGGTGCTTCCATGTCAATCAGGATCCTTAGAGCAGCATCAGCCCACCCGGGTAGACACGCCTTCTCCCTTCCAGGCCTCGCTCTTCATCTTCATTAGTTTCCTCCCAGCCTCAGCCGGAGACCCAAGAAGCCCCAGGGTCTCCTCCAAGCGCACCATGGCCTCCTCTTGGGAAATCCACAGGCAAACTCACTCAGAATGTTTTGTAAATGACATAAGGGTCCCATTATTGCCCCCATGATCTCCCCAGCTGTGGACTTCACGAATGCCTGGGGCTTATTGTTTTAGAAAACATGGATTGCCCAGAAGTATCTCTGATATTAGCAATAACATCCAGTGTAACACTCCAGGGTTGGAAATCATGGGAAATCCCGCTCATGCTAACTTATTC